CTTTCCTATCCTATTTTATCTCTCTAAGGCCGGGAGTAACAAAAGCATTACCTGCCTGCACCAAGAGAAACTGAAAATTATCTGTCTGCACCAAGAGCAAACTGAAAATTACCTGTCTGCACCAGGAAAAACTGAAAATTATCTGTCTGTACCAAGAGAAACTGAAAATTACCTGTCTGCTCCAAGAGAAAACTGAAAATTACCTGTCTTCACCAGGAGAAACTGAAAATTATCTGTCTGCACCAAGAGTAAAATGAAAATTACCTGTCTGCACCAGGAGAAACTGAAAATTATCTGTCTGCACCAAGAGAAACTCAAAATTATCTGTCTGCACCAAGAGAAAACTGAAAATTACCTGTCTGCACCAGTAGAAACTGAAAATTATCTGTCTGCACCAAGAGAAACTGAAAAATATCAGTCAGCACCAAGAGAAAACTGAAAATTAACTGTCTGCGCCAAGAGAAACTAAAAATTATCTCTCTGCACCAAGAGAAACCGAAAATTATCTCTCTGCACCGGGAGTAACAAAAGCATTAACTGTCTGCACCAAGAGCAAACTGAAAATTAACTGTCTGCACCAGGAGAAACTGAAAATTATCTGTCTGCACCAAGAAAAAATGAAAATTAACTGTCTGCACCGGGAGTAACAAAAGCATTACCTGTCTGCACCAAGAGCAAACTGAAAATATCTGTTTGCACCAAGAGAAACTGAAAATTATCTGTCTGCACCGGAAGTAACAAAAGCATTAACTGTCTGCACCAAGAGAGACTGAAAAATATTTGTCTGCACCAAGAGAAACTGAAAATTATCTGTCTGCACCAAGAGAAACTGAAAATTATCTGTCTGCACCAAGAGAAACTAAAAATTATCTGTCTGCACCAAGAGAAACTGAAAATTATCTGTCTGCGCCAAGAGAAATTGAAAATTATCTGTCTGCACCAGGAGAAACTGAAAATTATCTGTCTGCACCAAGAGAAACTGAAAATTATCTGTCTGCACCGGGAGTAACAAAAGCATTACCTGTCTGCACCAAGAGCAAACTGAAGTTGTATCCACTCCGCTAACAGAAATGATATATCCGTGTCGGGAAAACTAAAAAGAAAATAATGTTTTTGTTATTTCAAGTGACCTAAAAATAAAGAAGAGAGTTGTTTTTAAGGTTGAAAAGTGTTTGTTGTTGTTGATTTTTTTAATTTCTCACATCACTCTACCTCTTAAAAGCCACTGAAAACAATTTACCGCAAAACCAAACATAAAAAACAGGTCTGAGAAAATGTTCAAAATTTTGCAAACCTGAGTGGTTTCACACAAACAGCTATAGAGCTATCTTCTCTTCCTGGTCTACTATCCAAGGTGAAGAGGTGAAGGGGCAAATAGTTCGTTACAATATCATCAGGGGACTAAAACATAAATTCAAAAATAAAATGTTTTTACAGAAAAGCCCCTGTCCACATTAATCAACATTAGTAAATATTCAGTTGGTTTACTGTCCAGCACTACTGTCTAATGTACTGTCCAGCACTGCTGGTTAGTGTACTGTCCAGCACTGCCGTCTAGTGTACTGTCCAGCACTACTGNATTTTTGATTTTGTTTTTTAACCTACTAAAAATACAGTCCGGTACTTTGATTGAACCAGAGTTTTCCATGTGTCAACTCCATGGGAAAAAATTTGTATTTTGGCTTTTCTGCCATGTTCTTGTAATAACAAATAATGACACGAAATATATTCGTTATTACAATGTCTAATTTTCTGATCATTATATCTGTAGAACCCAAAGTCAAAGGCCTTAGATATTTCATACTATATTAATCATGTTATAGATAAAATAATCCAAGTTTAAAATATCATAGGTTTCCACCTTCAGGTTGCCAAGATATAGGGATTCGAAAATTTGAGTTTGTGACAAAGACTCAAATCCTTTTTTACAACATGCTCAAGTTCTTTATATTTACATTATTTTCTCATAAAAGTAATATCAATCTTGTGTTTACTAATCAATGAATCATAATTGAATTACTGGAATCAGTATCTTTCTCATGTGAATATATTTGTATATGTTTCAAACTTCTGACTATGAAACTAAGAAACTATAAAATAATAGGAAGGCAACTATTTGACTAAAGTTGTGATTTTAAATTAGTTCAACATAACATGAAATGCAGCAATGGCGCAGTTGACATTTAAACTATTTTTCATTATAATGTTTTTCTTAATGTAAAATTTAATTATTATTCTGTTTTAAGTCAAATCTTAAATATGCTTTCTCCTTTTAAGTCCATTAATCTTTTAAAAAATGTTGTTTACTTAAAATTCAATTTGTTTACTTAAAACAAAGATTGCTCTCTAATGTTGCTAGCTTGCCAGGGGGGGGAGTGCAGAAGTCCTCAATTGGTAATCACCGCCACCCAAACGTGTTTTGCGGCATGCGCGCTCCTCAGTTGGTAATCAGAAATAAAAAGTTAACATTAAATCGTTTATTTCTTATTAATAAGATCATATTGACCTCTGTTAATGGTGTACATTATTGTTAAAGCTTTCTTTATTGCTGCTCAGTTTTGAAAATAAATCTATAAGTACGCCACATGAATCCCTAGAAAAAAAAATACAAATCTTAGATCCAATTCGCAAATTTAATGACTGCATTTCATGATTGGAGTTAGGATACTAGATTTTTTGGTATACTGTTTATAGTATTCCCTCCTAATCTTGGTTTTATAAAAAATCCTTTTGTACGCCCGTGGTCTGAGAATATTTCTACAGATAAAAACGTGTCTTTGCTTGTTCATAATTCATAATTTCTTCTATTCAGTTTTAGTCCCCACCACGTGTTAGAGGCCCTGGTCTGTGTGTGTACTGTATATATTGTTGTATCATAACCTGCACGAGGGAAACAGCTGTTGGCTTTCTGTCATCAGAAAATGCGGGAAGCGGGCATATCAGCAAATGTGGATGAAGTCTATAATTCGATGGTGTATTTTTGGACCTACACGTTCGACTACCCATCCGACCTACTAGCTCATGGTTAATTACAGCCGATATAGGTCTGATGCACTGTAGGTCAGACGGGCACTTTAAAAACTGCATATTGGTGGATCCGTTAGTACGTTAGTTGGAAATGTTAGTACGTCAGGTGCCCATTTTTTAAAGGTAGGATGGGCAATTTTTGTTGGTCTGATGGGCACTTTTTGTAGGTCGGATGGGCAATTTTTCTAGGTCGGATAGGTACTTTTTGTATATCGGATGGGCAATTTTTTTTAGGTCGGATGGGCATTTATTGTAGGTCAGATGGGCACATTTTGTAGGTCATATGGGCAAATTTTTTAGGTTAGATGGGCATATTTTTTAGGTCTGATGGGCATATTTTTTTAGGTCAGATGGGTACATTTTGTAGGTAGGATGGGCTTTGAATTAAAAGGTCATTGCTGATAATAGAAAATTAAGATGTAATAAACAAAATTCAGAGGCATATGTCAGGGGGGCTACAGTAGCTTCATGTCCCCTCCTGGATCAGTGAAACATTTGGTTTCCAAGTGATATGGTGCCTCCTTATTGTACGAAAATGGAAAGGGAAGAGTAAAGGGAAGGGAAATGGAAAGGGGCAAGAAAGATAAAGAGGAAGTAAAGGGAAAGAGAAAGGGGGAGGGGAAGGACAATGGGAAGGGAAAATGGAAGGGGAAAGAGGAAGGGAAAGGGGAAAAGATAGGGGAAGGAAAATGGGAGGGAAAGTGAAGTGAAGGGGATGGGAAAGGGGAATGCAGAAGGGAAAGGGGGAAAAGAAAGGAGAAAAGGGGAATGCAAAGTGGATGGGGAAAGAGGAAAGGGAAGAGAAAAGATAAAGGGGAAAGGGAAGGAAGGGGAAGAAAAATGAGAAAGGGGAAGAGAAAGGGGAAAGGGAAGAAAAATAGGGAAAAGATAAGGGGCAGACCAAGGACAAAAGGAAAGAGAAAGGGAAAAGAGAAAGGGGAAATGGGAAAAGGGAAGAGAAAGGAGAAAGGGAAAGGCAAAGAGGAAGGTAAAGGGAAAGAGGGAAATGGAAGGGGAATGGGGAAAAGGAAGGGGAATGGAAAGGGGAAAGCAGAAGTGAAAGGGAAAAGAGAAAAAACAAGAGGAAAGGGGAAAGATGAAGGGAAAAGAGAAGGAAAAGGGGAAAGAGGAAGTGAAAAGGAAAGGAAAAGGGGAAAGTGGAAGGGAAAGGGGAAAAATCTTACCTTCCTGGATTATTCCAGCCCCATTCCTTATACCAAAGCAAATCTATTTGTTCAACCTAAAAATACTAATTTTCTCTGCACCCTATAATTCTAAAATACTGATAAAGAGTCTTTAACTCCTTTTCTTACATATGAAAGAGTTTTTAGACATAATTCAAGTATCTCCATTATCAGTGTTTAGTGTCTGATTCACATTTGTTCCCTCAAAACCCTCAAAAGTTATGTCTGATCTGGAATGAATGAGATATCCATGTTTCCCTGTCTTAAATCCTGATCCGTTTAAATTTTGGCTTCTCTATAACAGAGTGACGTGCAGATTTCTGTTTTCCAGAGAAAATTTCAGAGTCCGATACATTTCATAGGGAGTGTTCACGAAAAATGAAAGGGGGAATAGCCTTACGAATATTATGAAATATTAACTAGATACGAATGCGTCGAAAAATAATCGACGACTATTGGTTGTAATATCTGAATGATTTGTTTGGAATCAAATTGATAATTTTACAATCCAAGTCGAATGTTGCAACTTTCTGAAATTGTAAGGAGGCTACGTTCTGTGGTTTAAGCCGTTTTAACAAATTTTGCTTACAACTCCCTTTAAGAAACGATTGGAGATAAGTTTATGAGACCTAAACAAGTTTTGTCATGCAGATTTTGCATAATGAAACAAAAAGTTTTAACAAACATTTTTTAAAGAGAATCTTTCAATGTAAAAGAAAATCAAATCGTATTTTGAGTCTAAACTTTATTAATGGTCAATATACCTTGTATAGCTCAGCGCTGGCGTTGAACCAGACCTTATAAGAAGTAAAGTTAAAGCTAGACAAAGAAAAAACAAAACCAAAAAAACAAATAACTTAAATTTTTTCAAACAGCTCTGTTTTTCCATAAAATCAGGGGGGTTACAATAACTAAGTTGGCAAACTCACTTTTAAAAAGAATATTTGTTCCTTTTGGAAGTTGCTTAACTGGAGGCTTTATTTTTTTTAAATTTTAGGCAAACTTGTTGTTTATTATAAATATTTTGCTGCTGCTGACTGTAAGTATAGAGGCAAGCTTTAAAAATACATGTAATATGTTCAACAGTAGTCTTCGTATATATATGTATATATATAAATATATATAAAGCTTTTATTCATGATAGATAAACAGGGAAACATAGAGAAGCTGTAAAATAAATAGCTTCTATTTATTTAGTTTAAAAATCTAAACTTAAATAAAAAACTGTCTTCATTGTATTTATAAAAACGTTGACTACTGTATGTTATCCTCAATAAAAGGAATTAAGAGACATCAGGATAGAGTTGCTTTGCAATAACATCTATTTTCTTTTTTTGCCAAAAAAAATGGTATAAATGAAAAATGTTTACCTTGCAAAATAGTAATGGCAGGGCAGACCCTTCAATTTGCTGAGAAATCATTCCTTTAAATCAATTCTGTGAAATAAATTTTATTTAGTTTTAATCTTGCGTGATATTCAGGTAAAATTTTCTAGTACATTATTTATCTTGCAGAAGTTCTTCAGCTCGAATATCAATAGAAGACTAAGTTTTCTTTCTTCAGAAATATTTCTCATTAGTTCAATTATGTTCTATTCAAACACTACCTATTCGAACATTTAATACATATTCATTCTGTATCTATTCATTTGTTATGTATTCATTCTTTATCTATTTATTTATTATATATTAATTTACTGTCTATTCATTTATTATGTATTCATTTATTGTCTTTTCATTTATTATATATTCATTTATTATCTATTCATTTATTATCTATTCATTTATTATGTATTCATTTATTGTCTTTTCATTTATTATCTTTTCATTTATTATATATTCATTTATTATCTATTCATTCATTGTTTATTTCTTTATCATCTTTTAATTTATCACATATTCACTTATTATTCATTCATTATTTGCTAGCTTAAATGCCTGGTGTTGCCCAGGTTTATATTGTTACTCATTGTAACAACCGTGCTAAATATTAAATCATGATATTTGATGAATAGCCCGGCCTAGCCAGTGAAAATATATATATATATACTGATGAATAGCCCCTAGCAGGTGAATATATATATATATACTGATGAATAGCCCCTAGCAGGTGAATATATATATACTGATGAATAGCCCCTAGCAGGTGAATATATATATATATATATATAAATAGCCCCTAGCAGGTGAATATATATATATACTGATAATATGAAATGTTGTTTTGATAAAACAAAATTTATACTAGAGTCATGGAGCTTTGCTTTGATATTTAAAATAATGAGATTGAAAGCGAATAAAGAGTGGATTAGGTTCAGATAACATCCAAATAGAATATCAAGTACAATAGATGGCAACAGAGAAATGGACCAATGATACACGACGTCACAAGTGTCAAATATAACAAAGAAGACAAAATTTTCTCACATTAGTTGACATGTTGTCCAAGATTCATATAATTGCACTTATTTCACTGTAAGATAAGCACTTTATTCTAAAATTATCACTACTATTAATAATTTTGTCGGACACAAAAACTGAGTTGACACTTGTGACGTCAGAATACAGCTGTTCTGAGAGTGTACAAATTCTACGTTGCCATCTATTGTACTTGATAATCTATTTGATAACATCAAACAATATCCTTTTGTAAATATGTAGGATTATGATATTTGATATCTTAAAATTTGAATAAAATTATAGTTTGCCAGAAGAAAACAAATCAACCAGAGCTGAAAATTTAGAATGGTGGATACCAGGATCATAGCTCGATCTCCTCTTTTTCTTAATCTCCAAATTAAATAACGCTTGTTCTCCTCTTGTTAGAATATTCAACCGATCGGGATTAAGGATATCCCATTCAGCTCAGTTAAATGACCAGATTTTATGAATGGCGAGAAGTAGTTGAACTGTGAAGACTTAGTTAAACTTTTTATCTGGTGCGCCAGTTCAAGCTGAAGAGAAATGGTTAAGCATCATCTATGCAGTTCAGCCTTGTTCATTAAATCTTGACTCAGAAAATTCATCTTTAACAGTGGTCTTTATGAGAAGGGGGGGGGTAGTTTTAAACTAATGTCAAAGAAACAAACAAAGAGCCGCAGTGGTACCTTTAAAACTGTGGAATAGGAAGAAGACTGCTAGTCTCAAGTTATATGATATAAAATAGTTCAATTAACACAAACCAAAGCAATTGTGCAGTGTACACAGAAAATGTTCAACTTTCAGCTTTATAAAAAAGTCAAATATTATACATAATCCTCTATTTTCGAAATAATCTTCTTTTTCATGTAAAGGAATTGAGTTTTTGCCACAAACTCTGATTTTCTAATTTCAATATTGTTGCAACCCAATGTCGTAGACCTTTAATATTTCAAACTATGAATGCTATTGGATCAAATAATGTATGTTTGAAATATCAAAGGTTTACATCATAAGGTTGCAAAGATGTAGGTTTTACAAAAACTGAATTTGTGGCAAAGGCTCAATTCCTTTTGCTTTAGAAATAGAATGTCAATATATCTCAAGAAAGGTTTTGAAACAGTAACAATCCGAGAAAACCATTAACAAGTACTCACCGATATATTTAAAGTCTTTTAAGAATTTGAATTCAAACTCTTTTCTGAGTTAATACGTTTTCTAAGATTTTGTTTTTAATTAAAAAGTTTAAATGAACTCTTCCTCAACATAACTCTTGAAAGAGGTCTGAAATAGAAAATATTCTTTAAGAGGTTTTTGCTCCAGAATCAACGAAGGAAATTTTCATAATCAAACACTTTAAGCTAGACAATCAAAAATATCTTCCATATTATTGATCTGGGGAAGGATTCGCTCCTTTTTACTTGAAGGTTGGAGGGTCAGCTGACATTCTTTTGTTTTTATAGAATAAATGTAATGAAATAGATATAATGTAGAAAATTAAAGAATCTGTAAAATCTTTCCGAAATATGGGTAGATTTTGAAATTAAAAGTTCAAAACTAAAGAATGAAAAGTGAAGTTTCAATGTCAGCTTAAATGTCGCTTGTGACTTAAAAAAAACCTTTACTTTAAGCTTCTTGTTTGATTATTGAACTCCAGAAATTGACGAATTGAATTATCAAACCAGAGAGAACCCCACTGCACATTTAATATTCCTTTTTTATAAACGTACTTTTCAAATATTTGCATCTTCTTTGGTTCTTAGTTTGGAATAAGTTGTAAGTTAATTAGGAAATCTGAGATTTTTCTTTGAAAATCTTTTATGTTTGTTACCTGCCACAAATGAAGCTTATGAAAGCATGTAAAAATGAAAAAAGAAAAGTTTACCTTTGGTCCAGGAATGCGCTGAAAATAACAAGCATTGTTTACAATGAAAAACAACAACATTGTGGGATCCAAGAAATGTGGTTTATTACATTTTTTTCAGGATTGTTTCTTATTTATTAGATATAGAAATATTCATTTTAGAATTCTCGGGAATCAAGGATTGATCTCCATCTTACTATCCTATTTTCTATCCTATTTTCTATCCTATTTTCTATCCTATTTTCTATCCTATTTTCTATCCTATTTTCTATCCTATTTTCTATCCTATTTCCTATCCTATTTTCTATCCTACTTTTCTATCCTATTTTCTATCCTATTTCCTATCCTATTTTCTATCCTATTTTCCAATCCTACTTTCCTATCCTATTTTTCTATCCTATTTTCTATACTATTTTCTATCCTATTTTCCTATCCTACTTTCCTATCCTATTTTCTATCCTATTTTCTATCCTATTTTCTATCCTATTTTCTATCCTTTTTCTATCCTATTTTCCTATCCTATTTTCTATACTATTTTCTATCCTATTTTCCTATCCTACTTTCCTATCCTATTTTCTATCCTCTTTTCTATCCTATTTTCTATCCTATTTTCTATCCTATTTTCTATCCTATTTTCTATCCTATTTTCTATCCTGTTTTCTATACTATTTTCTATCCTATTTTCCAATCCTACTTTCCTATCCTATTTTATATCCTATTTTTCTATCCTAATATTCTATCCTATTTTCTATCCTTTTTCTATCCTATTTTTCTATTTGAAAACTGACACTTTTTAATAATGTTTTCTCTATAGTAAACACTTACGATCAAATTAATAATGAAGGAAATCCGTAAAGTTTAACACTTTTTAAGATAGAAAAACAATATTTTCCTCAATGTTTGGGATTTGTGCAAATCAAAATTTTTTGCAGACTCTTAAATCTTAGCAGAGGGTTTTTCAACACTGTATTCACTGCATGCAAAACCGAACAGTATTTTGCCAATTACTCCTTTTAAACTTAAAGGAAGTGTTCATAATATTTTTGATTTTGTTTTTTAAAATAATTTTCGCTGGCGCTGGATTTTCGAACATTCCTGGAAAATATGAAAATGTCGTCTTCATTATCAAAAATCCTCGAAACAGGAATAAATGTTTTCAAAAGTAACTCTTAGATCATGAAAAATACAAAATATTATGAAATATCAAAATAATCGATGACTATTGTTTGTAATATCTGAATGATTTGTTTGAAATTAAATTGATTTGTTTACGATCCGAGTTGAATGTTGCATCTTTCGGAATTTGAATGGACACTACGTTCTTCGGTATTAGTCGTTTTTAACAATTTTCTCCTTATAGACGCAACAGATAGAATAAGATTAGTAGCGATCAAAAGCGCTTTTTTATTGCATTAAGCCTATACCCCCTTTCATTTTTCGCGAACACTCCCTTTAAGCTAGAATCAAGGCACAATGCATTTTTAAATCGAGGCTGTCTAAACATTTGATGACTAACTTTACAGAGTTGACACATTTCAGTGTATCACTGTAGGGAAATAGAAAGAGCGTCCAGTGGACAAAATGTACGTATGTGGAAATTCAAGAATCGTCCGGCCGGTAAGAGTCATGTGTTTGGTGTCTATTCTGAACCAATAGCAATAGCATGGCGGTAACATCTATCTTTCTATCTAGCTCATTATCCAATTAGAGATATGAATCCTTCAATCGGAAATATGGAAATATTTACTTCTACTAAAACTAAAGTGATTAAAAACTTTTTTTATTCTTTTCAAAATCTCTTGAGCTAATGAAGATTGATAGAAAACATATAAGATGTAAATTTGATGTGCAGCCATTTACTATATTTTGACGTGTGTGCAGAAACAATGGAAATCTTTGCTATATATTTTATACATATTTTAAAATACCTCGTTATCAACCATCTTATCATCCAATCTTCCGTTAACCCATTCTAAATCTAAATATTTATATATTTGTCTGTTTGAGAGTTTGTCGCGGAGTGTCTGTTTAAAACCAATAACCGTTAATATGGCAAGACCGATCGGGCCCACACATTATTTGTTAATACATTATTGCTGCAGGAAAAAACGTAGATTTAAATTTTATCTAGAAATTCCACTCCAATCTAACCAGGAGGAGAAGGTCAAGTCAAATTCAATTGATATTACTGTTACAACTTTGTGACTCCATTGCTCCTCTAGTTCTGATTTTATGCACAAGTGTATGAAAAACAAATTTAGTCGCATACAAATAATGAAAAACAAATTTAGTCGGTTTCAAATTATAAAAAACAAATTTAGTCGGTTTCTAATAATGAAAAACAAATTTAGTCGGTTTCAAATAATAAAAAACAAATTTAGTCGGTTTCTAATAATGAAAAACAAATTTAGTCGGTTTCAAATAATAAAAAACAAATTTAGTCGGTTTCAAATAATAAAAAACAAATTTAGTCGGTTTCAAATAATAAAAAACAAATTTAAAATAATAAATTCAAAATATTCTTAATAGCTCTTCAATAAAAGGAGTTATAATAAAAAATATATTAGACTTTAACGTGATCCATCAAAGCTATTGGAAAATCCGCGAAAAAACGATACATTAAAAAAATACCAGAAAAAGGGCCACGAAGCCCCTAAATGCCCAGATGTTTTGTAAATTGAGAAAATGATTCTACCTTTTATGACAGCTGATGAGGCTAAAAAGATAAAAACAATGGAAGATGCAACAAAACATCTGAATAAAAAGAAAACTAATTTTATTCCTTTTTTACTTGAAAAGTCGATTCTTTAACAGTACAAATGACTGTACTGTAATTAAATAATAATATTAATAATGATAATGATAATATGTAATAATACGGAAAGAGAGAATTGAAAAAAAATTATTATAAAAATAGGCACACTTAAATGAATAACAAATCAAAGTTCTTGTTTCATAAAAAAAACTAAATATTTAAAAATATCATCTTTTTCTCTCTTCTTAAAAAGATTAAGTAATAATATTCTTAAAATAGATAAATTCAATTAGGAATAAAATAAATTAAGTTTACCTGAATATAGAAATATTTATTTTTTGAAGTTTATACACTGAAATCATTTTTAAACTGTTCATATTCTTTTGTTATATTTTAACTTTTGTTTGAGTAACAGATGATTATTTATTAAAAGAAATGTTAGTATAGAAGTATAGAAATATACAGTAAGACCCACAAAGGGTTAGACTGTGTTTGAAGATATAATAAATGATTTGGTAAAGAAAGAGACAATCGCTAACGCACCTCTGACCCTTAGGTAAAAGTAAATTCAGCCTAAAGTCTGACCGCGTCAACCTTGTTGCACCGGCTAGTCCTATTGAGTGTCTGCTTTGTTTACCCACCGGGCGATACAGTACAAACTGGGACCGGAAAGGTTGACCCATCTCGGTAATTCAAATGTACTACGGCTGCCTGTGATTAGTGAATTGATTTTATAATTTTTCCAGAGTTTATACATTCAGTTGCAAACCACTAAAGGGCCGGTACAAATGACAACTGTCATGAATGACCTTAGTACCAAAATTTTTTTTTTGCCGATTTTGATGGTTATTATATCGTTAGAACTGACGAGGGTCAACCCAGACCTAAATATATTTTCAATAAATGTGGAACTAACATCTACTTTTTTACTCTACAGAGGTTTGGTCCATCACCATCACCGAACTTTAAATTAAAACTGAACTTTTCCTTTTTTACCAACCAAATAGATTCTATAGTACATATCTGGCGTTAGATGAAGATTCACCGTATACTAACTCTTGTTTTTTTTTCATTAGATCGGCTGCCTTTTTATTGTTGTTACGCAAAAATTAGTTCTTCAGCAGTCCAAAAACGTCACAGCAAAGTGTACGGAAACCCTATCGCCCCCTCCTTCTTTCAATATCTTAGATGGCAACGTAGAATTTATACACTCTCAGTACAGTTGTATTCTTACGTCACATGTGTCAAACTTGGCAACATTGTGACCCTCTTAAAAACCCCTTTTTTTCAAAAATATTGATACCTTTTTAACTATGTTAATGTAAACTATTCGATCATTACAAACTTTCACATTACAAGTGTAAATAAATTATTTATGTAATTTTCTTAAGTAGCAGAAAATCCCTCTTAATACTGTGGTGTAAGCTTCAAGGGATGAAGAAAAGTCTCTAAAAAATATCTATATCTATTCGATCATTTACACACTTCCATATTACAAGTGTATATAAATTATTTATTTAGTTTTCTGAAGTAAACTCATCAGGCACTTACTCTTAAAATACTGTGGGTAAGCTTCAAGGGGTAAAATCTATATTTACACTGAAGGCAGCATTTATTAAAGCTTTTTAATGAAACTTTCATAGTTAAGGGCAAAAGTGAGATTTTTTTCTATGATGTAATTATGATTACACGGAATATACATGCGTAATTTCAAGTGACCCTCCATTTATATAGTGGCATGTCTGATGTACCTTTAAAACCTTCATTTCTCCATCGTTTCTGAAGCAAGGAATGCACGAGTCACCTTTGAAGAGAAACCATAAATGAAAATAATCAGATTTCAAAATGGGAAAAATGGATATTTAATACAATATTTGATCAGACAAAGCTTTGAAAGGCTATTTCTAGATTTGACATAATTTTGTCCGAAAACTTAATCAAAGAATTATATCATACAATATATATAATATATTATATATCTATATTTACGACCAAACGACGGGAGTTTATGGGCAACGCTGGGTTCTCAAGCAATTGTTATATATTCTACTGAAAAAATGACAAAAATGTAATTTTACAAAACTGCATCGCTTACAATGGAATAGTATTACAGAAGACCCTGACTGAAATATGCCTCCCATCAAAGTAATTTTCACAAATTATATAACTAAATTTTCATTTATATATAAATTTGAAATTCTACAAATTTTCATCCTTTCTTTTAAATAATCCGGCTTTAAAAAAAAGTCTCAAATTTTTAGCGGTTTTTATTATAAAAATTTCGAAAATTACAAGTATCGCCAAACTGTCTAACTCCCTGAGTGTTCTGATATCCTAATATTCGTGTGCGCTAAATGTTGATTCCTTTGAAATCAGTCCATGAACTTTTAGCATACTTATTTCCCAACCTCCTCCTCCAATTGTAGTTGTTGCATTATTTGCGAGGGGAATGCGTTTGGTTTCTTGGTTTAATGTTATTAATGCGCTCTTTCTATATAGGATCCTGTCGTCTTTGCTTTTTGTAACTTCTTTTGTAAGCATGAAAATTGCTTGAAGGAGATATACAAAAAGAAGAAACAATTTGTTCAATTTAGTAAATTTTAAATATCTTCAATAATTAATTTATTTCTTTTAACAAGAAATAATATATCTTTAATTATGGCTTTAAATGATAGACTAAAAATCTCATTGGCTGCCGAGTGTTTGAGGGAGAGGTTATGAATGCTATTGCTGTCACTGTGACTGGACCTGGGAGACCCATGCCTGCCTCTTACCGTACCGGACCGACCCCACTTCATCCTGGCAGGGCTTCACTATATACTATATTCCCTGGTGGTAGTTTTGTGAACTATACCAGAACAAGCTCTGATATTATTCTGTTCTCCTGATGGGTGAATTCACAAAAGTGTACTACGATTTGTACTGATGAAATATGATTAAGGAAACCAGCAACTTAATTTAGGAAAAACAGGCAAACCACGCAAGTGCAAGTTTCTGGCCGATCGATTAGGTAGGTAGGTAGGTAGGTAGGTTGGCATAGATGTGATTAGGCCATTATCCTAGACTCTTAATGAGTAATTTAAATCGAAAAAATTAGACATCCAAGCTGTAAGTAAAACATCTGTTGTTATAAAGAGATCTCTCTCGGCTTAGCAAAAAACGAACTAAAAGTTTAGGATTTTAAGCACAGTTAAAAAGATACAAAAAATATTTTTTAAAAAACTGTTAAGTTGTTTCTTAACGTGATTCGATTCCTTCGTCCGGTTTTAGGCAGTTAAGTATTTTCGCCACGATTAACTGAATCATAAAAACCAGGAGAACAGAACAGACCTAGAGCTAGGTGTATAGTCGCCATTGATTATCATTTAATTAGGGAGCGCTGGGTACAGCTGAAACTAATTTAAAATAATAATTCATTCAAGGGGAGTAAATCTCTACCAGGAGTTCAGAACAGGACAGGAGTTCAACAAATACACAGCGGCACCGTAAAGATGAAGTGCGTGAAATTTTCCTTCTAAATAACTCTATACAAAAGTAAATAAATGCTTTAATACTTGAGACAGCTTATGTAAAATGTGAATTAAACTTGTTTAGTTTTTGTAAAACTTATATTCTATTTTACGTCATGCTATTTTGAAGAGAGACGATTAATTAAATATTAAAATTCGTTTTGTACGAAAAAAATACAAAATGATTGTCAATGATTTAACTACAATTCTGATTTTATAACAACTGAAAAAAGACAATTAAATTTTAGTTGTAGATGACATTATTTGTATTAATTATATTACCATAAAACTATGATTTGAAAAAAAAGGTTTGCTTGTTTTTATCTTTCTGACAGAAACTGACGAGGGTGACGAGGGTCAACCCAGACCGAAATATATTTTCAATAAATGTGGAACTAACATCTACTTTTTTAGTTTGGTCCATTACTATTACCGAATTTTTTAAAACGGTATTTATAAAGTGAATTATAATCTTTTCAACATTAAGCTAAATATTACATTTCATTTAACTTGCCTCTTTAAAAAAAAACTCCTTTTTTAAAGATCTATTAATAATAACTTTGATAGGCAAAAAACATTTTATTCAGGTGTAAATTAAAATATAGACGAGTAACGATGTCGCCAAGTCGTCCTAGCTGGTAATTCTACATAAATAAACTTTTTCTTTTGTTTATAGATATAAGTGAATGGACCTCCTAGTTGAGAGATGAAACCATCATTACGAAATGATTTATTATGTGCTAAACTTATTTTTACCCGATATCATCATCAACCCTTTAATTCGGAACCTACCCCTTTAATTATACCGGAGCTTGACGCTGTTTTGTGATTTATTGCTTTAATGGGGTAATTACTTTAATTAGAAGTAAACTGACATTATTAAAACTGAAGGAGAAGCGGTCTCATCTGTTACCTTTGGAATGGGTGGGGTGGAGGGTAATACAATCCCCCCCCAGTGGATTTCTAATATATAACCAGATAAACTTGCATTTCTCATATAATTGTACATAATTAAGATTATAAAATTGAGAAGCTACGAGGTGACAAAGTCCTAACAGTTATATCAAATAAATGTGTCTAGCTCACAATAAATGTGGTCCAATAATTTTCATTTGGTATAAAATATTTAAAATAAAAAAAGAATATTCGAAAACCTCTCTGTATGCTTTGAACAATTACTAAAGCTTAATATTTCATTCAGAGATATGAATTGCAGAAAAAAGAAATAAATTTTAAAATGTGAAATAACTTATGTAATGACTAAGGGTCAAACGACCCAGAGTCAAACGACATAGTGTCAAACGACATAGGGTCAAACGACAAACGGTCAAACGAAAAATGGTCAAAAACGCGCCAAAGTGTAAAACGACAAAGGGTCAAATAGAAAAAATATTTTATGTATTATTTCAGGGCTAGGTTAGGTTAAGATAATTTCTGGGCCGAACGCTTTGGCTAGGGTAGGCTAGGGGGCCGAACGCTTTGGATAGTAGTTCAAATGAACATAAACATTATATAAAAATATGAATTATTTCAGGGTTAGGCTAAAGGGTCGTTTTACCCTTTGTCGCGTTTTTGAACGCTTGTCGTTTGACTCTTGGTGACCAGAGGCACAACGCAAACTAGCACTTTTGTTAGGGGGCAAAATATTATTTTGTAATGGTCGGGGGGGGGGGGGCGCTTGCCCCCCTTTTTTCGATTTTGTTTTCAAAACAAAAATTCGATTTTGTTTCTAAATTAAAGTATGGGTTTGAAGTCGAAAAAAGGAAATTTTCAGTTGTTGCATGCAGATTTGGCTGTGTTCAATTCAAATCGATTTTTTTTCTTGCGTTTTTAAAAATCGATACTTCCA